GCAGCAGCCGCCGGAGGAAGTGACAGCAGTGCTCTTCGCCCCCGTGAAAACCAAAGATGGAACTGAATTGAAAATGGGAACTCGAACTTTAATGTCCAACTTCGTTAATGGCAAACCCACTTTGCTGGTGGTCCGCAGCAACGCACTTACAACTCAAAATCCTTTTTTAATTCCTTTCTTCCAAACTTTTCGAGTCCAAACTTTTGTCCAAGGAACTCAAAAGCCCCTCATCAAGGAAGTCGGCATCACCGTCAAGGTGCTGCTCCTGCTGCTGCTGCTGCTGCTGCGGGCGTGGTTTGTGTTGCTGCTGCTGCTGCTGCTGCTGGTGTCGTTTGTGTTGCTGCTGCTGTTGCTGCTGCTGGTGTGATTTGTGTTGTTGCTGCTGCTGATTTTGCTCGTGGTGCTGCTGCTGCTGTTGTTGCTGTTGTTGTGATTGTTGTTGCTGTTGTTGTGATTGTTGTTGCTGTTGTTGCTGTTGTTGTTGCTGTTGTTGTGATTGTTGTTGCTGTTGTTGCTGTTGTTGTTGCTGATGTTGTTGCTGCTGTTGCTGCTGTCTGCTTCTGCTGCTGTCTCGTTTGCTGCTGTTTGCCTTCTGTGGGGTTCTTTGGGCGTTGCTGCAGCTACTGCTGCGGGCCTCTTTTAGGCGCACTCTGTTTATTGTGTCTCCCTTTGCTGCTGCTGCTGCTGCTGCTGCTGCTGCTGCAGTTCAGGAACTTCCAGCCCCTCATAGAGGCCGTTGCTGTCTTTGAAAACCCCACAGCTACCACCATCAAGTTTCGATACGCCAAACTCGAAACCTTCTTCAACGGCAGGTGAGTTTGCTGCTGCTGGTGCTGCAGCTGCTGCTGCTGCAGCTGCTGCTGCTGCTGCAGCTGCTGCTGCTGCAGCTGCTGCTGCTGCGGGTGTGTGTACTGCTAATTGGTGTGTGGGGCGTACATCCAGCTGCGAGCCCGTGTGGGGCGTGGGGTGTCTAGGCACCTGTGTGGGGCGTGGGGTGTCTAGGCACCTGTGTGGGGCGTGGGGTGTCTGTCCAGCTGGGTTGCATGCGGGCTTGGGGTGTATGTCCAGCTCGTTGGGCCCCAAGGCGCCAAAGCCGCAGCACTTTGGCCTGCGGTGTCTCTCCACCTCAAGTGGGGCGCGGGGCTGGGGTGTACGTACACCGGAGGCACCTCGTTGTGTGGGGTGTACGTACACGGAATGCCGGCAGTGTGTGGGGTGTACGTCCACCGGAAGCACCTGCTTGTGTGGGGTGCACGTGCACGGGAGGCACCGCGTTGTGTGGGGTGTACGTACACCGGAATGCCGGCAGTGTGTGGGGTGTCCGTCCACGAGCGACGGCAGGGAGCGGGCCGTTGGGTTCGGAGGCGTGCGCGCAGCGAGAGCCCGCGTGCGGGTGTACGTACACCGCAGCGGCACGCTGTGGGGGTGTACGTACACCCGAAAGCCACCTCATGTGGGGCGCGCGTGCGCCCGAAAGCGACGCCGTGCGGGGTGTACGTACACCGCGGCGCGCGGCGTCAGCGCGGCGCGGCGAGTGTGGGGCGCGGGGTGTCTGTACAGCTCGCTGGGCCCGATGGTGATCGACCGGAGGCGCGAGCCCGACGTGATAAAGCCCTCGCGGCTCAGCCGGTCTTCGCCGGTGGCCATAAAGCCCCAAATCAAAGACGGAACTTTCGCGCTCGTCAGCAACGTCCTCAGAAGCATGGCCACGAACTCCTCCGAAATGGCCTTCGTCCAGGTGCCGCTGCGTGCATGCACGCATGCGTGCAGTGCGCATGCATGCAGCCGTGCATGCGCCGCTGCATGCGTGCAGTGCGCATGCATGCAGCCGTGCATGCGCCGCTGCATGCGTGCAGTGCGCATGCATGCAGCCGTGCATGCGCCGCTGCATGCGTGCCTGCGTGCGGTTGTGTCTGCGTGCGTGCAGCAGCGTGTGCGTGCATGCAGTGGTGTCTGCGTGCATGCAGTTGTGTGTGCATCCATGCTTGCAGCGGTGTGTGCATGCATGCGTCAGTGCTGTGCAAGTGCATGCATGCAGTGGTGTGCACGTGCGTGCATGCATGCGTCAGTGCTGCTGCTGCGCATGCATGCATGCGTGGATGAGTGTTGGGGACTGCCCGCAGTGTGCGTACAGCTGAGGGCCAGCGCCTGTCTCTGCCGAACGAACTGTTTAGGGCTTAGGGCTTAGGGCTTAGGGTTTAGGGTTTAGGGTTTCGGGTTTTGTGGCTGCAGGCTCGGGGTGAAATTCACATTGAAATCGAAACTTTTGCATGCAAACTGGACGTTGATTTGTCTCAAATTCCGCTGACGCTGCGCAGCGTGGGGCTTTAGCAGCAGCAGCGGCTTTTATCAAAATGCATGCATGCATGCGTGCATGCATGCATGCTTGCATGCATGCATGC